GAGCTAAGGGTAAGAGAAGGCTCGTGTCCTGGTTCAAGCAGTTGGGTGGAGGCCATCTCAACCTCTGGGCCTTTTTGTTCCAACATGGTCCTCACTGGATTGGATGATGCCTAACTACTTTACTCAATTCTACAAGTCTAAATACCAATCTCCAATGGAGGCACCTAGGAAAAACACACAGAGAAATAATGTTTAACCAGAGGTCTGTACATTCAGTGGCCCAGTCAAGATGGCATAAAGTTAGCCATTATAGAGTCCTTATCAGTGAAGATGTTGTATGGGGAAGCTTTGAGTCTGTAGGAGGAAAAGAACTAAGGCCAGAGACCCCAAACACTCTACTGTTATTCTAGGGCTACCATAGCTATTTAATACAAATTTGTTGGTTTTAAACTAGATAAATTTACTCTCACAGTTCTAGGAACCATAAGTCCAAAGTCAGGGTATTATCAAGCAATCATCCAGAGACTCAGTGAGGATCTTTTTTATGCTCCTCTCCTACCTTCTACAGACTCTTGGCAATCCTTGGACTCCCTTGGCTTATAGCTGTATCCTCCGCTCCTGTCTTCACATGGCCATCTTCTTGCCTCTTTGTGTGCCCTCTCCTCTTTGTAGAAGGACACCTGCCATGATATTTAGCACCCACCCTAAATCCAGGATGATGAGATCTTTAACTAACTATATTGGCAAAAATTCTGTTATGTTTTAGATATGAGATGTACCCAAAAAACTCATGTATTAATCAATGCAAGAATGATCGAAGGTGAAGAGAGTAGATTATGAGAGCTTTAACCTGATCAGTAGATTGATCTATTGATATGGACTAGCTGGGTGGTAACCGTAGGCAGGTAGGTATGGCTGGAGGAAGTAAGTCACTAGGTGTTTGCCTTTGGGGTTTATATTTATATCCCTGGTAAGTGGAGCTGTCCCTCTCTCACTTCTTGGTTGCCATATCCTAAGATGTATTCCTCTAACAATTCCTTCCACCATGATGTTCTGTATCATCTCATCTCAAGTCCAGAGCTATGGAGTCAGCCAACCATGAGCTGAACCTATGAAGCCATGAACCAAAATAACATTTTTCACCTCTAAGTTGTCTTGTCTGGTATTTTATTCACAGCAATGAAAAGCTAACTAAAACAGATCCTATTTCCAAGTTAGATCATACTCTGAGGTTCTGGATAAATGCAAATTGGTAGGGGGATGGGCACTATTCAATACAATGACCCTCAATGCTCCTGGAATAACAGCTTGTAGGAGATATCATTACAGGAGGCCCCACCAACCAGCACACATCCAATTTTAGGATGAAGCTCATATATCAGGTTTTGGCATTCTCCTTTCCAAACCTGAAATACTGGGGATCCAGTCACCATCCCAAGTCTTTTTATGTACTCATTTAGTTTCAGAAGAGCAGTAATTCCCACCATGAGTTTCTACTAGGCTCTTTGATTTCCAAGAGAAATGGAACCAACCAAGATAAAATCTATAAAAAGAGCTTTAGGCCCCAAATCCAAGAATGGCCCAGAGGACCACCTGAAAGAGCCCTAGTAAAAGACCTGTCAGCTCTTCATGGGAAGAATGTCACCAAAATGGGCACCATGTGCACAGGCCCATGGTTTAGCCTGCAACCCAACTAGCATTTTTTCACCCATGATGTAAACTCATTCACCATTATTGCTGCCTTACTGGAGCCCATGGTCCTGCAGTTGGAACAGATAGGATCCCATGATAGGATTGACAGTGGGTAGCTAAGAAGGGAAGGAAAGTTTTCCCATGGAGACAGCAACTGAGCTGGAGAATTTGGGTCTATGTGATCACAGCAGAAAGCAACAGGGAGGCTACTCCTGGCAAAAGACATATCTTTGCAAAGGTATAGCACAGTGCACCCCAGGAGGGTATGACAGCTCTATGGCAGAGGGTGTAAGAGCTCACAGGGCAGAAGCAAGAGAGGTGGTGGGAAGGAAGTTTGGTACTCTTTGCTATAGGAGTGATAGTGACCAGGACTCAGGCTTTGTTCAGTTCTACCACCAAGTCCTGGGAGGATGTATATCCAGATCGAAGCTCTTAGGTGATTACAGATAGCAGTGTTGCCCACACACAAGGAGCCAGGCAACCACATCCTCAGTTCACACCTGACCCCAGAAAATAGTATTTTTTAAAACAAGTCCCTTCCCATTCAACCCATCTCTCTCCCAGTCCAACATTATGGGAGCCCACTTCCAGGAGGGAAAGCTGAGAGGAGGAGGAGAGAGGTTAAGGGAGCCTTACCAATGGAGACAACCTTGTCCTGGACTCTTTCAGCTCTTATCTCATCCTTTGACATTCCAAATAAGTCATGGCCAGACTCCTTGGTGCCTGAAACAAACCTCAAAAATTCCAGATTCTGAACTCAACCAATACATCGAGTCTGACACAATACATTCTTAAGTGGCTTCTAGGATTGTCAGGGAAGGATATTCTCACCTACTCCAAGAGGATATCAGCTCAAAGAAAGTAGAAAAGGAAGAAATCAAATTATCCCTATTTCAGTAGTCATGATCTTATACTTAGAAACCCTAAATGCTCTATCAGAAGTCTTTCAGATCTGATAAACAAATTTGGCAAAGTAGCAAGTTTCAAAATCAATACATTCTTTAATATGCCAATAATGAGCCTATTAATTCAGGAAAACAATTCTATTTACCAAAAAAAAAAGGAACTCAAAAAAATAAAGTACCTAGGAATAAACCCAACCAAAGGAAGGGAAAACTCCTGAAAAGACCACTTCAAAAAGAAATTGAAGAAGATACTAGAAAATGGAAAGAACTCCCATGTTCATGGATAGGCAGAATTAATATTTCTCAAATGGCCCTATTGCTAAAAGTGATCTACAGATTCAATGCAATTCTCACCAAACTACCAATGACATTCTTCACAGAATGAGAAAAAAACAATCCTCAAATTCACATGGAAGCACAAAAGACCCAGGATAGTCAAAGAAATCCTGAGCAAAAAGAGCAATGCTGGAAACATCACAATACTTGATTTCAAATTATACTAGAAATATAGTGATAAAAGAAGCATGGTATCTGAATAAAAACAGACATGTAGATCAATGTAATAGAATAGGAGACCTGGAGACAAACTCACATAGATACAGTTATCTGATTTTCAACACTAATGTACCAAACATACACTAGAAAAATGACAGTATCTTTAATAAATGACCCTGGGAAAACTGGGTATGTACATGGATATTCACATGGAATAATCAGTGACTCTCTCTCACCTTGTGAAGAATAAATTCAAATATCTAAATATAAGACCTGAAACTTCAAAACTGCTAAAATAAAACATAGGTAAAACACTTCAAGATATAGGCACAGGCAATGACTTCCTGAATAGGACTCCTAGAGTACAGCTCAGGAAATAATAGCAAGAATTACTAAATTTGATGGCATCAAATTAAATTTTCTGTACATCAAAGGAAAAGATTATCACAGTGAAAACAGTCTGCAGAATTTGAAAAAAAATCTACTCCTCTGCAGAGAATATCTAGAATAAAGAACTCAAAATTATTATATATATATATAGACACACAAAAAAAAAACAAATAACCCATTCAATAAATGGGCAAATGAACTGAATAGATACTTCTCTAAAAAGGAAGTACAAATGGCAAATGATTACATGAAAAAAAATGTTCATTATCTTTAGTCATCAAGGAAATACAAATAAAAACTACCTTGAGATTCCATCTCACCCCTTTCAGAATGACAACCATCAAAAAAAAAAACAATAAATACTGTCTATAATATGGGGTAAAAGGAACACTTATACACTATTTGTAGGAATGCAAATTAGTACAGTCACTGTGGAAATCAGTATAGAAGTTCCTTCAAAAACCAAAAACAGAACTACCATATGGTCCAATTTACCACTCCTCACAATTTATCCGAAACAACTGAAGTCACACCGTTGTTATTGTGGTGCAATTCACAATAGCCAAGTCATGGAATCAGCCTTAGTGCCCATCAACAGATGAATGGATATACGTTCATAAATACACAATGAATGGAGTATTATCCAACCTAAAGAAGAACAAAATTATGTCATTTGCAGAAAAGTCGATGGAATTGGTGTCTTAGCCAGCTTTGTTTGCTGCTGTGACTAAAGGATATGACCAAAACAATTGTAGAGGAGGAAGAGTTTATTGGGAGGCTTTCAGTATCAGAGGTCTCAATCCATAGACAGCAGGCTCCATTCCTCTGGGCTCAAGGTGAGGCTGAACACCATATGGCAGGAGAGGCTGGCAGAGGGAAGCAGCTCACATCATGGTGATCAGGAAGCAGAGAAAGAGAGAGTCTCCACTTGCCGGATTCAGATATCTACCCCAAAGCCACGCCCCCAATTCCCACCAGCTCCAGCCACACCCTACCACTTCAGTTACCACTCAGTTAATCCCCATCAGGAGGTTAATTCACTGATTGGATTCAGGCTCTTCCAACCCAATCATTTCTCCTCTGAATCATCTTGCATTGTCTCACATGTGAACTTTTGGGGGACACCTCACGTCCAAACCATAACAACTGGAGCTCACTGTGTTAAGTGAAATAGAAGTCAGACTCAGAAAGACAAGTATCATGTGTTTTTCTTTTATATATGGAATCTAGAGGAAGGAAAGAAAAGGGGCATGGTGAATATAGAAAGGAGAGCATATATTAGTGGAGGAGGGAGATGGGGGTGGGAGAGCAGAGTAAAGGGAGGTAATAGAGAGTGAAATTGGTTGACTTATGCTATATGCATGAGCAAATATTCCACAATAAAACCCATTATGTGGTATAATTAATACATACCAATTTTAAAAAGAATTTTTGCAAAGGTCTTAGAGGAAACTCTGGAAATTCTCTGTCCCTCTGAAAGTTCTTATAACATTATGCTTACTTGAGATTGACAATGCTGCACCCCAATCTTCCTCTTTTTTATTTTTATTTTTTGGAAGATTTACTTCACATGTTGTTTTTTTTTTTTTTTTCTTACAAGCTCCAGGACTCACTTCAGTCCTCAACCTTGAAAATAAGGTCACTTCTGCTAGTGATGAGGGAGTCAGGCAACTCACCAGGCCTGCAACACGGGGGTTGGGGACCTCCTAGAAGGGGAGAACCCGCAGCAGAGGACAGCCTGCCAGAGCAGGTGAGAACTGCAGCCTAACAGGAACCCCTCAGAGCAGAAAGAGAATGTTGGGGATACCCCAATTCACTGATCACAGCCAGCCTTGGTGTCCAACACAGAAGAGTGAACCAGGATTCAATCTGTCCTCTGTCTGTGCACATACTAGACCCCTGCCAGGTGCCCTACACATTCTCTCCTTGGAAACCTTTTCCTTGAAGGTGCAACTCAAGGGTCACCTCCTCTATGAAGGCAGAATGACACTCATGGGACAGAAAGCAAAACACACATCACTGCCTCTCTTTCCAACAAAAGAAAGCTTCCATACCCACATGGGTCCTACCTCCGAGAGTTTGAGGCCAGAGTCCAAAATTACCATAAAAAGTGGCTCCATAAGCATCTGCGACCTCTGAGGTCTCCAGGGTCGTGTAATGAAATAAGGACATTCCTCACCTTCAGCAGCTTGGAATCCTTAGAGATACTTAGGGACTGCCCTAGGTATCTAAGCTCTAAGGAGAAAATTGGAACAATAGTTCATGATGTCAAAATTCTATCTTTCTCCTGTGACTTTCCCATACAGTTTTCTCCAGATAGCAATCTTCCCATTACTATAGCAACCCACATCTCCTAAGGTTCAAGGGCACCAACAGGAGCCATGGGAGGAAGAATGTGCTTGCAGCCTTTGCAACCAAAGGCTGGTTCCTTTGCAACCAAAGGCTGATGTTCCTTCCTATCTGATCACCTGATCTTCTTCTATAGGTACTGGCACCTTGGGTCACCTGTTCATGAACTCAGAAGTCCCCACTCTTTGATGTTCCCAGCTGTCAATTGAATGTGTCTTTTACTGGGCCAGGGTGGGGGGATATATATGGGACCCTCTGGATAAAGTAGTAGGAGGAATAAGTAGTAGGAATCTAGAGCTGAAATTACCCCAGTTTACTCTTCTTCTCCAACCTCTCCATAAAAAAAGGCCCCACCTCTCTGTCCAAATGCACTTCTGAGGTATATGAGCCTCTCTTGGTATCTTAGAACACACTTCCTAGTTAGCGTGTAGTCCTCCTTAGTTTAGGTAGAGGGCTGTTTTGCTGATCCTGGACATGGAGAACTTCCTCTTGTCCCAAAAAAATTAATCCTTCACAAAGATTTTGGGCAAAGCCTGAATGCTTACAAGCGGTCTACAAAATGCCAGATTCCTACCAAAAAGTAATTGGAGGAAAATTCTGAGGACCAGCTTTAAGAACTATGGGCCCATCGCAATAATAAACCAACCCCATCCCTACAGATGCACTGGGTTCCCCTGGTGATGATGGAAGGGGCAGAAACGCGTCACAATGAGCAAACAAAGGTGTCAGGGTACACTTTATGGAAACATTCACAATGGATCTCTCATGCTGCTACACATGACACAAGACCAGCCTTTCTCCTGACACATGTGTCACCTTCCCCCAACCTCTTTCTTCTCTATTTAACTCAAGGATTTCAGAAAGACACTGTCTAACTGTAATAGGCCCTGGCACATGTGCAAGATCCACAACGACACTCTTTGAATGATATCAGTAGATAGAGCAAATGCCAAAATTTCAGAAGGCCATTCTTATAAATTTGGGAAAAACTGAAGGATCCCTACTCTATAGCTGCAAATTTTCCAAAAACGCACTGTGTTCTGGCAATTGCCAAGGAGATAGTGGTTCTCCATGGAGAGAAAGCAAGGTAGAACCTGACCTCAGGACAAGAGACAGTGGAAAGCAGAAAGGTGTGAGGTGGCCCAGACTCAGGACCCCACCCCAGAGTTAGGGCTCAGTGGAACTCTCCAAATTTCTGTGAGTGCACTCAGCAGACCCTTACACTCCGCATATCTGTGATGGAGGACATCCTAGTGGGCCACTCAGGGACTTGGGTCCAGGCCACCTCTTCTCTTTCCTTCTGAAACAGGGCCAATGCTCACTTCTTCATCAACTGCTATGATGCTAAAGAGTCACGTGGGCTCAGGACTTGGAACCTTGGGGTGGAACCCTGGGGAGAAATGGACTGGCTTGATTCTCTTAGGTTAGTGATTTCCATGCATACTCCAAAGAGTTCCTAAAGAACTAAAGGCAAGGAAGAGCAACAGACAACCTCATCTCCACCCTGGACTCCTCACCTCACTTTTCCACATTGTACACATTGAGTGGGTCTGCAGGGGACTCTTGTTTTGAAACTGGATTCCGCAACCTTGTAAAAACAGTTGGGAACCACTGTTTCATATTTTCAAAGCTAAACAATGAGCTGTTTCAGGCTGTTCTGTCCCTTGAGGCTTCGGGTTTCATAATTGCATTGCTATTTTTATTTTTTACTAAAAAGTAAGAATTTATGAGAGCTGGGCTGTTAGGCCAAGCCCTATAAACCATTGCAAACCCAGGACTGGGCTCTGCAGGTTGATTTATGGTTACACAGTTATTTGCAGACATGACACCAGGGCTCAGCAATAGTGGCTTGGCTCTTCTGGGGTACAAGGCACAAGCAATCATTTCTAACCCCTCGGGTATATGTGCATATGTGTGAGTGAGAGCATGTGTAGGCCTGCATGCTTGCACACGTGTACAGTGGTGGCAGAAGGAAGCCTGTATTTTAAGAGCATCTCTTAAGAATCTCCCTTATGTCTCCAGGTTGCTTTCTGCATCACGGCTGTCTGCATTCCAGGAATCTGCCTCACAATTCACGGAGCACTCCTAGTTTGGTAAAGAATGGGAAAGGTCCCTAGTCCATTTTTCTTGAGGCCCTCAAAAGGCAGAACTAGGGACATCTAGAAAGTTAAGGAGAGGTTAACCAAGTCTCTGTGGAAAGAAGACTCACATAGTAATCAGAGCTGTTAGGATAGGTTGGAAGGTGCTGGACGTCATCCGAGGCTGTTTGGAAGGAGAGGGTAAGTAGAGAGAAATGTCAAGAAAGAAATGGCTGCCAAGCCCAACAGGCAAGAATGTCATGGCAGACCCTGGTAGACGCACCCATGGTTGGACAAGAAACTATTTCCCCCATGTTAGAAAGGAGGAGAGGGGAAGGCTTTTTAATTAGCAGGGCCCCTTTCTGGGGAAGCCTCTGGGCCTGTAGAGAGTTCTCACCTGACTTCAGCAGGCAATTCCCAAAGACCTGGAACAGAGGAGGAAATAGAGAATTTAAGAGGTCAGGTGGCCAGTCCACTTTCACAAAGCCAGTGAGCAGCAGATTCAAGCTTCAAATCCAGATCCACCTGCCTCCAAAATCGATGTTCTTACCACCACGTGTCCAGTAAGAAGAATCAGAACAGCTTGTTTCCCTTCTGGATCCTTCTTTCTGACTTTCCTTTTCAAAATTAACTGTTCTTAGAGAAGAAAGAAAACCCAGGCCAGCTCTGTCGTTCTGCTCTGGCTCTGAGGAGGGCACCCGCCGGGGAATTAGTACAGCTTTTGCCATTTCCTTACCACAGGCCCGGAGTCTGCAGGGCCTTCCCCTTCAAAGGATAAAGCAATTCATAAACAGGAGACTTGCAGGCAAGAGCAATGAATCTCAGGGGCCCTGCTAATTAAAAAGCCCGTATTACATTACTTCCTCAAGGACTCATCTTCTAATTTTTAGGATTATGCTACATTGATTAATTTATACAAGTTTTTAATCCCTCTGTGCTTAATGAAGTCCAGGAACATGGGAACAGGAGCATAATTGAGCTTCATATTATTTTATTAAGGAGAATTATGGCCCAACGTGTCATGGAGAAGTTGGCGAGGGTGGGGAGGAAGCACTCAAACCATTAACTGATTGTTTTCCAAATGCCAGCAGGGACATTCCCTTGGGACAGACACATATACAGAGAGCTGTGTTTCTTAGCCACACTCTGCTGTGGCTCCTGATGGCCCACAGAGGAAAGCATGCATCTCTGTTATGGTACAGAGTACTCTTCCCACCATGACACAGCCGCCTTCCTATACCCAACCCTCCCACCCCATTCACCCCAGACCATCTCCTTGCTATTCTCCATGCCCCCAGACACTCTGCCCATGAAGGCTCATTCTCGATTCAGGCTCCAGCACCATCTCCCCAAAGAGCCTTTCCTGATTCAGTTCTCTGCCAGGGAAAATCATCTCTCCCACATCTGCTACAGAAGGCCTTGAAATTTGGGGATCTCCTGATTTTTTTGGAACCAGGAGAGGTTGGGCTAACCAATTATCTTAAGCCTCTGACCCAATCTTGGCAGCTTCTACCCCAAGAAAATTTAATAAATGACTTGCTATGACACAAAGGCCAAAAGGCTTCATGATAAACAAGGAACTGAGAGGTGTTTGGGGAAACCTCTTCCCCTGTTCCCACCTCTTCATCACCCAAGGTTGTGCCAAGACTTGAACTGGTGCCAGCTGATTTGGGCTATAACCAACCCAGGTTCTGCCTCGAAGTCTCCATGCAGCCTCTATTGAGTTCCCTTCTCCAGGTCTCAATTTCCCCAGCTGTGACCTCAGGCAAGGGGCCTAACTCTGGTTCCTGAGACTTCTCCAATGAAAGCATTAGAGAATTCCAGGACTCCCCCCCACCCAGATCCCCAGGGTCTGGTCCAAGACCCCCAAGTTTCCCTACATCCTCTGGAAGAAGAAAATGGAGTTGCAGATGTAAAGCCAATGGAAAACAGGTGCCAGTTTTTTTTGGGGGGCGGGGTCTGTAAGATTCCAAGCCAAACCCTTCACACCTGAGGACTGACCCAGCTCTGATTCCTAAAGCTACACTTTGGTTCTTGCTTCTTCCTTCAAATTATTCTTCCTGAAAAGCACGATGCTCTCTCAGTCCCTGTCACAAGCTTAATCCACTCGGG